TCCCTCAAATAAGAAATCCCTCCGTATAAAAGGAGAGACAGCACAAGCAACGATAAATTAACAAGTTAATTAACTAAAATGTCACAGATCAAATTGAAATATAAACTAAAGTACAAGGATTGAAAGTGCAACTAACCCTTTATTTCATTAATATGAGATATCATGGGAAAGTAAATCAAACATATGACCACATGTGAGTATCCTATGTTTCCTTAATATACATGCGATATCAGGGTGTTCATGTGATGTGAGTGTATGAGTGAATACTTTTAGATACTTGAGCTAGAAGCCATTGGCACCAATTAATCCAAGATTTGATTTAAAAGAAAAAGAGAAGCAAATAATGTACCAAAATGAAGGTTCTTATTCTAGAATTAGGCTACCAAGAGAGAACTCATTCTAGCAAATATAGTAATAAGATTTGATCAACTAAAACACACGTTTATGTTCACATAATATGGCACGTAGTTAGAACAAGGAGTAATATTCCTTTGCATTATTGGTGTTCCTCATGCAATCAGAATTAGAATATTAATTAATTATTTGAAAGGAGAAGTAATTACATTAACTTAACCAAAAAGTTATTCCTTTTTTTAATGGCCTAATTCAATGGTCTCATGGCTTTAATCTTCCTTTTGCTTGCCTAACTCTGTCTTTTTGACAATCAGTATATCTACCTGAATTTTGCTATACTTCTCTGTCACGTTCGGCTTCAAACTTCAAAGCATCTCTGCCACCGACTTTGACTAATGACAATACATATAGACATGGAAACAAATTCGAAGAAAGAATCAGAAAGACCTAGCTACCTTTAGCAATAATATTTAAATTATTAGGAGATCCTCTCTTTTGTGGTACAAGTGCTTATTTCAGTGGTGTTCTTGCCTTTTATGTCTAGGCTTGCGGTAGTTTTTTAACGTATTCATTATGGTCATATGTGGCTATATTGTAAGTTACACTGTTAATATTGGTGTACTTTTTTCTATCTGAATTAACCCTAAAAATTAAGTATATGTATCTGTTCTTATAATGGCCTTTTCGATTAATGAACTTTGAACTTGATTTATAAATGCAATGTATCGTTTTCTTTAAAAAGAAAAAGAAAAATGAACCAGGTGTCGAGAAAGACAAGGAAGGTTCAACCATTGATTGAGATCTGAATACTACCACGAATAATCACTGCCTTCTTGAAAGTTCTAATTGAATAAGAGGACATATTTAATGAATTATATAGACACCAACATGAAATATTTATAAAATTTTAGAAATGAACTGCGACAAAGTTATTTTTTGGTAGATGATTGTGACAAATTTTTTTGGTTTGTATTTACAAATTAGTTCTAATTTGAACAAAAAATAGTTCACAACATGAAAAAAAAAAACCTTTTAAACTACATATATGATCTTAATGTATTAAATAAATTAAGAAGATGGCCGGTACTGGGGTGGTGCAAGTGTTGCCACCACATCATACCTCTATTTTTAGAGGGCCCTTGAATGTTTTTTTTTCTTCATGTGTGTATTGGGTATATATATGCGAGCGTGCAACATATTTACATACTTACATGTTTAGTGAAATTGATTTGATATGGGGTTCTCAAAATCTTAGGACCGATCTTGATTAGAATTCAACTCGAAAGTTGATCATTTGCTAGGTTGTAACTTATTTACGTATTTAACACACGAATTCAACTTTTTAATTTTTTTAAATACTAGCCTCTTAGCACATGCAATTAAGAAAAGATAACATGGATTGTTTTGTTCCATAAAAGTATGACATATTATCTGATTTTGTTTTTAATATGAAAAAATATGAATTTATCATATTATCCTCATTTAAATAATAATTTTAATTCTTAATGTTTGCATTAATCAATGACATTTTTTGGTATTTTAAATGTTTCATCATTCTCTGCCTTTTGCTTTATATATAGAGATAAATTATTATGTGAATCAATAAAAAGAAAAGAAAAAAGAAATTATAGTCTAGAAGTGGGACTTGGTTGGCTTCCTAATTACTGTACCTGGTCAAATGATCGCGTCAGTCCATATGCCGTAGGCCTTTGCAGGTCACCATGCAAACTCATATAATTAGGGCAATAAATTATTTATTAAAAAGAACGTAACAATTGTTAGGAAACTTCCATCCCCTTTCTTAATCCCTGCAGTCTGCTGCCAAAGCATATTTTTCTACATCGCATAATTATAAACCCAGACAGAGACGAAGAAAAGTTCTCATCATTTTCAAACTTTCAGGCACAAACAAAAAGCTCAGCTCAGCTTTCAAAACCGAAAGTGCATGTCTATATATATATAAATAATTTACACATGAATCTACTAACAAATTCAACAATGTCGACCCCTTGATATTAATTTATTAATCACACACTGAGTTATGCTTTTTTCTTTATGAAATTGAAAATTAAAAAAATCAGATAAAATTGATATGGTGCATTTGCGGACAACATAATGGAAAAGCCATTGAAAAAATATTTATAGTTGCTGGTTTTGATTCAAACAACGTACGTGGGTTAGGAGATTAGATTGGAGCTGGTTGTTTTTGTTCCGAACTATGGGATTACAAGGGGCGCAGGCACAGTCAGTGTGAAAGTAGTTGGTATTTTTAGTAGGAGAATGATGCTTTCTGAAGTGTACCACATGCTTTATTAATTAAAAGCACGTCTTTCTTGTTTTGCAAGTTTGAATTTTACTTCTTCTTCCTTGCTAGCTTCACTTTCAATTTAAATATTGTTCTATTGTTTGGACTCTTGTCAGGAGGAGGTCTGTGTTTGAGGGTCTTCGTATTCTTAATATATAAGTTTTACGATATTTTTTTTAGGTATATTATTTGTCTCCTTTCCTGTAAGGAGAAATTCCTTTATACAAATCACGATTTGATATATGTGGAAAAACTTTTGACTTGTCTATTGTTTCCTGATGGGCATTAATAGACCTCAAAGAGTGCTCTATGAAAATACAAATATGATGTGAAACACTTTGAAAATGATATTCATGATATTTTAAAGTTATTTGATAAAAAAAAAGTAAACCAAGAAAAAAAAATGCATTGCTGTAATTTATGTCGTTGTTTAGTATACAAGAGGCATCCTCATTACTTTGAGTCACATCATAAACTGACTTGACATATCATTGCATTACTAACATGGTATAAGTGGAAGAGGAGAAAAAATCATGATTTTTTTGGATCATAAATCTTGCACAGATAATAATTAATGACTGGTATAAATTGTGTTTGTACATGATTTATGCATTTTTTTTATAACCATGATTGCAAGAACCAACATTCTTGCTTAATTAGTGTAATTTGATTTGTAATTGATCACAAACAAACATCAAACATATAGGGAGAGATTTGGACTTGAAGTGGTCCTTGACCATTTTGTGATCAGTGCTCCAAGATAGTGCTATAACATTGTCTTTTTCTTGCATCGTGAACAAGTTTACTACAATGGGGCCATATATATATATATAATGGACCCCTCTACCCAAAATCTGCATTGTATAATGTGGATTATATGCATCCAATTTATACGTACTTATATATACAGTTATTCTCTCGTTAATGTCTAAAACTTATTATAGTGCGGATGTCATTATAAACAAAAAGGAAAGTAAGAGACGATTGCATTCACTATATTACATGTATTTCATTTGACACTTTTTCATTTTTGGATTGCACTTGTCCGGAGGTAGAAGATGATTTTATTTGGAGTTATGCCTTTGGTAGGAAATTTTGTATTAAAATAATTACTTGAAAAACAATGGAATAACCTGAACATTGCAAGACAGATTTGTCAAGAAGTTGTAGAAACTCAACGAAATGCGTAAAGTTAAAACCTTTGGTTGGTCAAAGGTAGAATTGGTATATCTTCTACGCAGTGTTTAGATCCCACTTTAACTTGTTTCGACAAGAGAATCTTTTTTCAAGAAAATAGGCTTATAGTTTTAGTGGTAAAAACGTTTCCACACTCACCATGAGAATTCAACTCTCACCCGCCACACTTTAAAGGAAGCAGTCTCCTAGCCTTTTGATTCAACCTGGAGTGATCAGACTAAGAAGAAAGTTCACACACATATTCACAGAATTTTATGGGCTCCTTCTAAAGGGCACTTCTGTGTCAAGTTCAATTTTCAGGGTTTCATTAAACAAATTATAAATCGGAACAACATGTAATGTAATCAATTCACATGTTATAATATGAACAAATATCATTCACTCATGTTATAACACTAGAGCTAACTATACAACGTTGCAGTATAATCGTCACACTAAAATATTACTCGTATTTCAGTATCACACAATAATTTTCCATTTTGAGACGGAGCATGCGGCATTGAAAATTAGAAATAGCAATGGATTTATGTCAATTTCAGGGTATCTCTAGTTAAAATTATTACTTTTTATTTTTCTGATTACAAAGGTTTGTTTGAAGGATGTTATTATTGGGTGCATTGCACTGGGGTCACAGTGGTCCCTCCCTGCCATTCTATTACAATATTGAGACCGAAAAGTACAGGCGTTTACAAGAGAGATACTTTCGTCAGGTAGTGCCGTGAAACAGAGTTATAAATTGACAAGCGACCCATTTCAAATACTTGTGAAGCCAGTGCGCGTGTGCTGTGATTTTTCTACCTTTTTCCTCAGGTTTTGTTCTATTAAACCCCTCGCCCTTCCTCTGTTTCCTGCCCAAGAACTCACCACAAAGAACACAAACAAAAAACCAACTCCTCTGTTTTTTCTCTGCTCTCTTTTCCTCTTCCTCTGTTCCCTCTTTCAATCCCAACCCTTTTCCTCAAATTCATCAGGTCTTTCAAGGTATATAAACAATCAGTCAAATGGGCTTTCTCAAAATCATTCCATCAAATGAAAAAAAAAATTAAAGTTCTGTGTTTGCTTTGATGTGGCCAGAGTTTGAAAGTTTGTTGCTTTCTTTGTATATATATGCAGGGCTTGAACTGAAACTTGAAGAGAAACAAAAATGACCAACCAAAATGTGGTTGTTTCTGATGCGAAAGGTGTGGCTGTTACAGTGGCTGTTACAGTGACTGTTGCCAACCAGTCCATGTTCTCTTCCTCTGTGCCGAAGCCAAGGACTGCTGAGGCAGGAGGAGGAGCAGGCTGCTTCACCATTCCCAGGAACATTAAGCTTTTGAAGGTTGAGACAGAAGGTGGAGCTGCCAGAGTCAATGCTTGGGTTGACTCTCTGAGAGCTTCTTCTCCACCTCGTGTGAAATCTGCCACTGAAACTGTGGATTATAGCTCTTGGAATGTAAGCATTGCCCTATATATGCAACTCTGTGTGTGTGTGTGTGTCTGTTTTTTTGTTGTTGACAATTTTGATTAATTTGTTTATGTTCTGATGGTCTTGGAAATACATATATATAGCTTCATCATCCTTCAGCTATGAGCATGTTCGAGGAGATAACAAATTATTCCAAGGGCAAGCAGATTGTGCTCTTTCTTGACTATGACGGGACCCTCTCCCCCATTGTGGAAGACCCAGATCGAGCTTTCATGTCCAGAGAGGTTTATTTTTCACTCCTACCCTGATTCTGCTCAACTTTCTTCACACAAAAAATAAAATATATATGTATATGTATGTATTTCTGATGTGATATGTATATGTATAGCTTCTGAACTACTGTGGTCATTTTGGTCAGATGAGAAACGCTGTGAAGGCTGCTGCTAGATACTTTCCTACAGCAATAGTCAGCGGGAGGTGCAGAGACAAGGTACAATTTTTCTTTATATAAACAGAAAAATAAAATAATAATTATTTTTTTTTGAACGATTGAAAGGAAATATATTAACAATAATGGTTATTGTGTTTTTGGACAAATTTGCAGGTTCATAGCTTTGTGAAATTAGGAGAGCTTTACTATGCAGGCAGCCATGGGATGGACATCAAAGGACCATCCAAAAGTAGCAAATATAAGAATGTGAGCTTTATTATTCATCTCTGTTCTTTTTATTTTTATTGAATATTACTTTTTGTTATGATTTTGATTTTTTAAAAAAATTTATTGTTGAATTACTCAGGGTAATCAAGCAGTTCTCTTCCAACCAGCCAGTGAGTTCGTACCAATGATTGATGAGGTTTGTTTTGAAATCATTTTTAAGAAAGAAAAAAACAAACAAAAATGGATATAAAAAAGATGTGTTTGAGGGACTGAATTTGTGTAACTCTTCCAATAGGTGTGCAAAATTTTAGTGGAGAAAACCAGATCCATCTCAGGAGCAAGGGTGGAAAATAATAAGTTTTGCTTATCTGTACACTTTCGTTGTGTTGATGAGAAGGTAAACAAATAAATCCCACCTATTTTTTTACAATTATTTTCTTAATTTTAACATGTTTAGTCATATAATTTGATGAATGATATATTTTATTTATATTCTAATTTTGTTTGTTTGCCAGAGTTGGGCTGCTTTAGCAGAGCAAGTCAGACTAGTGCTCAATGAGTATCCAAAGCTCAGGTTGACTCAGGGGAGAAAGGTACCATCATACCTGTATTGAGATCAATCTTCTTGACCAAAAAGTTCAGTTAATTTTTGCATGGCCATGGTTATTTTTTAAACACATAAGCAATTGCCTAACTTCATGTGTTGGATTTAAAAACAGGTATTAGAGATCAGGCCAACCATCAAATGGGACAAGGGCAAAGCTCTTGAATTCTTGCTAGAGTCATTAGGTGAGCTTGAGTCAATATTTTTTTCTAAAAGGACATTACTCTTGATTCTCTATCGAGACTCACATCAATCAATGTTCACAAAAACACGTCTACGCCCGTGTCAACGATTACGTCTAATAAAACTGTTTATTGTTCTTTTAGGATATGCGAATTCAAATGAAGTGCTACCAGTCTATATTGGAGATGATCGAACAGATGAGGATGCCTTCAAGGTATCAAATGCCCTTCCCTGTGTTTCTTTAATTTGCCTTCGTCAATACTTTCGTACATTTCGTCTAACGTATTGTCACATCTAAAATAATTAGGTGCTACGCGATAGAGGACAGGGGTTTGGAATTCTGGTTTCTAAAGTTCCAAAAGAAACAAATGCGTCCTATTCTTTACAAGAACCAGCAGAGGTAAGAATAATAATATTATTGAACCCCAACCTGGAATTTATGCTATTTGATATACATTTTTTTCTTTGGTTTTAACCTAATTAATGTATTTTATTATTGCATTACTTTCGCAGGTTAAGGACTTTTTGTGGCGTTTGGTGGAGTGGAAAAGATTGTCCCAACAACAAAGAAACTAGACTCGTAGAGAGGTGGCTTGAAATAGAGAAAAAAATTGATTGAAACCCACCCTAAAATTTTGTCAAGGGTGGCTTGAACTATCTAGTCTAATTTCTTTTCCAGTGGTTATCAATTATTGAACTCGATCCCATAATTAATTTTGGAAATTGTATATAATGCTCTCTCTCTCTCTATTTGTTTACTCAACCATATACATCGATCTGCATGGCCGTTTTTCTGTGTAGTAGCTTCATATTGCACTTGTCAAACTGAAAAACGTACGACTTTTAACAACAAAAAACAATGTCAAAGCCTATATATATATGCCTAGAGCCTATGCAAAATTATCCTGTCCCTTCGAAGTTAAAATAAATTGACCATGGGCCAAAAAACTCATATCATTATTGTAAATTGTAATGCAATGCTTTCCATTCTTCATTTGGGATTAAGATTAAATATGTATAGTCTAAATTTATAGCTCGTCTCGTATTTACTATTCATCTTTTTCTTGTTGTATGTTAAAAGAAAATAAGGGCATTGGGATTCTCATCCTTTGATATAAGTTGTTTTTTTCCCTTCACTAAGCGCGGATCTTTTTATTATATATTTTGTGATTTTGGTTCTTTGATTAGGTGCGCTATTACGATTATATGCATACGTAAGTACATATGATGTATCTACATCAATATATCTATGTTTGTACCTACATGAATAATGTACCTAACGAATGACTAATATAATCTGACATTAGAGTTTAATAGAGATGACAATTTAATTTCCTAAAGCAAATAAGAAACAAATATAAATTGACATGTACATACTTGGGAGTCATCTTTTCACACGCATGCACGCATCATTATTTTAGAAAGGACAACGCTTATATTACTGAATTGACATGTAATTTACTCCTATAAAGTAATGAAAATAGTACGATGATCAAATCAAATTGAAGTTAATAAATCAATGAATTATTATGATTTGAAAGCGATTCATGCAGCTCCTTCCACGAAATGCTAATAAAGACATATCATGTCGATGAGGAGGGGACGTTGCCCTTCACATGTAGGAAAAGGCAAACAGTTTCCTTGCACTATTTTACGACAAATTGAGCCATTTTCTTGCTTTTTATTTGTATTTTTACTCTTTAATTAATTTATTCATTTCCAATCCCAGCATCCTATAGAACTTGGTTCCACTTGTATTACGGAATCAAGACATGTCTCTTTACAGGGGCACTAGTGATTTAGACCCTACTCCATATATAATAATGAACATTTGAACTTCTTTTATTAGTAATCGAGAGGGAGAATCTATATTTTTTTATACAAGCTATACTAGAGAAAGGGGGAATCGAACGTAGGATCTCGGATTCAAGAATAAATGTTCTTAACCACTTAAACTACAAGTCCCTTGTGAGAAGAAGACTATGTATATGATTATGTAAATAAAGATGGGACCATGAAGTTACATATTCCAAATTTTTACTTTTTTTTAATTAGTTTTTAACTTGAAGAACTGAACTTGGGGACCAAGTTTGGTGGCACATTGCATATAAAAGCTGTCTTGCATGCACTAGGGAATCCAAGACCTGAACTTAATTGGGGACCAAGTTTGGTGCACATTGCCTTAATATATATTAATAATAAGTTAATTATATTTGGTGTTGGATTAACGTGGTGTTGGAAACTGTGTTCTGAGATCCTCTTCGATATCTATAGGCCTCTTATGTCTAATTTATTTCTATGATTTTACACTTGATGACCTAACAAAAGCATAGAAAAATATGCATGCAGTAGTCAAAAGGCACAATTGAGAATTCTTGAATTGAGTGTTCCAAATGACCAATGTTTATTGGGTGGCTTCTGTTCTGTCCACACAAACTCAATGTTATTAAAACCCTCAATAATAGGAAGCATCTATTCACAGTTGTCAAAATGCCCAAATAGTTAGGCAGAATGGTGCTATCCAAACATTAGAATATCAACATTTTCTTGAATTGAGGTTTAAGACTTTGTGATTTTATTTTTAGAGTAAAGAACCTAATGAATTCTATATTTGTATTCTTTTAATATATGAATAATTACTGCGACTATTGCCCTAAATGTATGCAAGTTGATGACGTTTACATGTTTTGCTACAAACCCACATGCATTATTTTAAATTCTTGGGCGTAATTAGTGAGGTAGTTCGTCTACGATGTGAGCAGAGATTCGAAATCCCGAGGCATCCCATGAATATATTTGTATAAAACCCCCATATTGCTTGTACTAAAAAAATATATTGTGCTGTCAGGACGTATTAGTGGTCTTGTTCATTCACATTATTAATCTTTTCCTACATAACTAGCAGGCATATATTCATCATCTCCATACACAACCCAAACATTAAGTATCTTCTTAATCTGGCAACAAGGCATCTCAGGCCAAAACATTAAAGTCCCAATGGGATTTCCATTTGTGCTAATCATTTTGTCCTCACTCATTATCAGTCTATGCATGATTGTATCATCAAGGAATATGAGACCTGAAATGGCACCATCAAAAGATGTTGTGACCCTCTAGTTATGATTGGGATCATATATTCTTTAAGAAACCCCTAAATTAGGAAAATGATTCTGTTGCCTAAACTTTGATTTGTTTGCAAATCCTGTATAGTAAGTGCATATGTACCTTTAATATATATATATATATCATATTCACTTACCACCTCTTTAATTGTTGTTCACAATCATTAAGTGATGATTTCCAAAATGAATTGGTGCTTCAATCATTATTGCCTAAACTTAAGCTAATTCATCAGGGTACAAACTTTTCCATATGAACTTGTCGTTTATTTATTTGAGGAGAGATTCGGACTTGGAATCTCTTCCAACAAAGTAAAAAATATTACTATAAACGATAAGAGTTTACTTAATCATATGTGTGAATTTGTTTGAGTAAAAAATAACAGCCACACACGCATAAGACAGATTGGGTAAACATTTTATGTATATTTCAATCACAGCAAAATATGAGCAAACTTTTCCCGTCGGCACACAGTGATGAAGCTATACCAATAATTGAGGGGATGATTTGAAAAAGAAGAACCAATTTAAACTGATGATTGATGTGTTTTTTAAGTAACACACACATGCACCTCAGTACATAGACCTAAAGCCATAGCCAACTATTAAATCTTTTAGTCCCATCTTGTTGCTTCCTTTCATAGATACTATTTCTTCACCCTTGTCTCAGACAAGAGATCATGGAAAGAGGACCGCACGAGACCTAAATTTATTAAGTTTTAATTAATTTCTGGCACCAGTATTAGGGTACAAAGGAACAATATTACTTACCATGAACCCATTTTTTTATAAACCTAAAGCAAATAAAGAAGCTATGCTTTTTAAACCGATCGCACAAATGATGGATATTGAATTTGATCCAAAACAAAAACAAATATATAAAAAGATCCCAATTACATAAACAAATATATATATATATAAGATCCAAGGTAGCTAAACAGCTAGGGTTAAGATATTAGAGGGGGTGGAAAATGAGTGAACAGAAGAGCATATGGCTTTTGAAAGAGAGATATAGACCTAACCTATTGGGCACCAAGATTTGGGAGAGCCCACATCAAAAGATTAATGGAAGAATCTTAGAAAGAAGTATTTTATTGGATACAATTTGTCATTGGAATATTAATATGTGTTATTTTCATAGGGTTAGGTGATGAGAGGGAAACCCACTAAGCTTATATATGAATGAGAGCTAGCTTTTAGCTATGGCTATTGCTAGGTGGCCTAGAGGGATCCCAATATGGTTGAAGGAGGAGTTGGAATCCACTGAAAGTGCTTGGTATGAAGAAGACATGGGTTTTAATTTGTATTGGGACACCCAGCATGCTTCCAAGCCATGGAAAACCTCTGCCCTATTTTCAGACGTGTAAAGAAAGTTTCCCACTTAGATTCATCTTCCTTCAACCCCATTATTGGCTCCTGAAACAGAAATAAACAAAGTCTTGCTCTTCTATTATTTCTAGCTTGATGAGGCCCCCAATTATTGGTGGGAGTTTTTTCCATAAAAAAACCTCATCAAGGACAATTCGACCAACTAAAACTCCCTGTATCACACTTTCTGCAGCTTTAAATTTCATTTCACTTGAATCATCATCCATGACATAGCATATGATGTGTCTCAAACCAAACAGAAACCCAAAAAAAGAAAAAAAAAAGAAAGAAAAGTCTTTCGAGTCAGTTAATTTAATTTAATCAATGCAGACATGGACTTAACTAAGTTGGATAGAGCGAATGTGCTTCTCACTATGCACCGAGTTTAATTTAAAGTAGGATATCGTTTATATATAAAATTTAATTTAATTCAAATATTTTAAAATGAACCCTCTAGGGTGCCAACAAACAAACACCTGGGGGAATTAAAAAAGAAATATTAAATATTAGAGTTATAAAAAGACCAAACCCTCAATAAAAGTGTATTTACAGAGAAGTGTGTACGTGTTATATATGTAGTGAGAGGAGAGGTCTCCTCCATGTGGTTAGACAAGTCTCTTTAAAAGAAAAAGGGGAAAAAAAAAGGGATCTCTGTGAATTGAATATTTGGGAACAAATAACGGATGTCTTTAAAGTTTTTTTTAACATGGTTTCTGGCATCGAGTATTTGACTATAGAATCAAATGTACATATAATTTATAAACGTGTCATGCTGTAGGAAATCTGGTCCCTCCATAGAGGGTGGTGCAACACTGTCGACACAAATATGAGGTAATAAAAATTGATCATTTATGTACGGAGTTGGTCAGTAAAAGAAGTATATATATTTGCATGCATGTGTTCGAGATTTGGATAAATATAGATCTTTGATTGATTACCCATGTGATTAGCTAAATGATCTTCACAAAGGGTGCAGGTGCATAAGGTGCTCACATTGCAGGTAGCTTGGACCTAATCCCTTGTGTATAGGAACTCATTATAAATTAGAATAAAAAAAACTAAATATTCTAATCGACTTTTGAATTCTAA